AAAACGGGGCGAGTGCGGGTGGGAGGCCCAGGCACGCGGCCGCCGGTGGGGAAGAGGACGGGCGAGCGACTCTGACCCCTGCTCTCCCCGCAGGATGCAGCACCGAGGCTTCCTCCTCCTCGCCGTCCTCGCCCTGCTGGCGCTCACCTCCGCGGGGACCAAGAAAAAAGGTGACGGGGCGGGGGTGACTGAAGGAGGGCCGGGAGCGGGCTGGTGAGGCCCCGCCACCTCGAGGCTGGCTGCCTGGGTTCCCAGCCCGGAACCCCAGGAAGGCGGTCCCCGAGGGAGTCTCTCGTGCCCCGCGTCCTCAACCGTGTCCCCCGCGCGTTGTAGACAAGGTGAGGAAGGGCGGCCCGGGGAGCGAGTGCGCGGAGTGGACTTGGGGGCCCTGCACCCCCAGCAGCAAGGACTGCGGCGTGGGTTTCCGCGAGGGCACCTGCGGGGCCCAGACTCAGCGCATCCGGTGCAGGGTGCCCTGCAACTGGAAGAAGGAGTTTGGAGGTGAGGTGGGGGACAGGCGGAGGGCAGGAGAGGAGGGAGGAAGCCGCGGGTCGCCCCGCTCTGACCGGGGCCGCTCTCCCGCCAGCCGACTGCAAGTACAAGTTCGAAAGCTGGGGGGCGTGTGATGGGAGCACAGGCACCAAAGCCCGCCAAGGCACCCTGAAGAAGGCGCGCTACAATGCCCAGTGCCAGGAGACCATTCGCGTGACCAAGCCGTGCAGCCCCAAGACCAAAGCCAAGGCCAAAGGTCAGGAAGGGAGAAAGGGTGGGGTTGTCGCAGGGGGCTGTCCCCCACCTGTGAGGAGACCGGTTAGACCTGAAGTGTTGGGTTCTGGCCAGTGACTCTGTCGTCTCTGCCCTGTTTCTCGGTCTGTAGAGAAAACTTAGAGATGGGTGCATACAGGAGGGCGGTCCACAGAAGATGTTCAGGAGATATTAAATCCTCTCTGGCCCACGTAGGGACAAACAAACTGTTCTGTTGAAGCATTTGACTTAAGATCCAGGGAAATTGTTCTGGCAAGGCAGCATTTGCCCTTTCTAGCATAGGAGGGACTCCACAGTCGACTCTGCTGCCCTAACTTGCTCCTCACCCAACAGCCCAGAGAGGCCCATAGGGCAGAGGTGAATCTGTCCAGTCCTCGGGTGAGGAGGTCGAGGCTGTTGTTCATGGCTGTTGTGGTTGGGACTGGGACTGGGACTGGGACCTTGAAGGTTTTCTGATCCTAAGTGAAAATAAAAAGTTGGAGGGGCTGGCCCGGTGGCGCACTGGATAGTGCGCCGCTTCGGAAGCGTGGCGGCGCTCCCGCCCGAGGGTTGGGATCCCACATACAGACCAGTTCCCGCTCACTGGCTGAGCGAGGCGCGGGAGCAGCGCCGAGGGTTGCGATCCCGTTGCCGGTCCCGGTCCGGTACGGGGGCGACACTGAGGGTTGCGATCCGTTGCCAGACACGGAAAAAGACAAAAAGACCAAAAAAAAAAAAAAAAAAAAAAAGTTGGAGCAGGGGCTGGCTGATTTGCTCACTTGGGAGAGCATGGTGCTGGTAACCCCAGGGTCACAGATTCAGATCCCTGGGTGGGCCAGCCACCAAAAAATAAAATAAGTAACAAAAGTTGGGAGAATAGGGACTGTCCGGCATCATAATGGTCACCAGGGGGCAGAATTTTCTCTCTCCCTGATGTGCCTGTGTGTGTCCACGCATGTGTGTAGCGGGAGCTACTGGGTCACCCTAACTCTGCTAATACAGTGTTTCTTTCTTGTTTTACAGCCAAGAAAGGGAAGGGGAAGGACTAGAAGCGGGACCTGGATGCTAACCTGGCCCGCGCCTCCCCCACCCCCTACAGGCCCAGGATGTAACCTACCAGTGCCTTTTGTCACTTGCTAGCTTTATCAATCATGCCCTGCCTCTCCCCTCTCACTCCCCACCCCACCCCCAAGTGCCCAAAGTGGGAAGGGACAAGGGATTCTGGGAAGCTTGAGCCTCCCCCAGAGGGATTTGAGTCCCACCCAGTACCCCCGAAACAAAGAAAATAAACCGACTTTTTTCCCAATAAAAGCTTTTTATCTTTCTTTCTTAATATATAAAAGCCCCTTCCCAAGGTGTTTGCTGTGGAAATTTATTTGGGGGTGGGAAGGTGGGAGAAAGACAAGGCTGTGGGGACTGGTGGGTTTAAGGGGGTTGGGGGCTTGGTGGTGAGTGCTCCCCAAAGCTCATGGAAGAAGCAAAACACTTACGAAATTTCTGCCAGGACCCCCTAAAGGTCCTCCAACAAATCCCCTAAGCCTTTCAGTCCTTATCCCTCCAAGGGACGGGGCTGGGGAAGGGGACCTGATAACTCAGAACTGACACTCCCATCTCAGCCTCACCAGTGAAAGGTCCAGCCCCCTGCCAATCAGAAAGTTTCTACCCACTGGGAAAGGAGAGATGGAGGTTGCTAGGCAGCGGGGAAGAGGTTCGAAGAGGGCAGATGGGAACACTGCCCACAGCTCCACCCTCACTTGGCTTGTGATCTGGGACAAGCCCTCTCCTTGGGGCAGGGGGTGGGAGAGGGGGTTCTTCACAATAAGGTGGACCTCTCTTGGCTCATCCTGGGACCTGCAGGAGGCTGGACCTGGGTTCCTGAATGTGGATCCCTGACCTCCCAGCTACCCTGTCCTGCTGTGAGTACAGTGCTGCAATGCCTCAGAGCCCACTCAGCCTGAGTAGCTGCAGGGAGGGGAGGTTTCTGCCCCGGAATGGGATTTGTGGGGAGGGATGGAGCCTACATGCGGGGTACAGGAGGGTAGAAAGCACCAATTACAGCAGAATAAGGGACCCCACGCTTCCACTCCCTTCCCAAGCCTCTTTTCCCAAGCACTGGCCCCTTTGCTCCACCCGAGAAGGTCCTGGGCTTCTGCTCCTCTCCAGATGTTCATCCTTTCACTATGCTGATGGTTGGTCACAGTGGGGCAGGTGCCTGCCCAGGCCTGTGCCCCCCAGCTCCCTGAGGGGGGGCAACAGAGATGGGCCGGGTGGTCCCGGTTCAGACACTCCTAGGGCTGAGCCTCCTCAGCCCAAGCAGAGAGCTGGTCTCTGAAGCCAGCCCAAGCCTCTTCCTGAGACTCACAGGGTCTTGGAGTCTTCAGCTCTCCTCTTCAGCAAATGTGAGTGCGGAACAGTGCCTCCAACTCTTCCCCACAGCAGGTGAGCCTCGTGGTCCCCCAGCACACATATGCAACACCAGCACCTTCTAGAGCACCCCTGCCTGCCTACCTGGCAGTGCCAATGTTCCGATACTGGCACAGCAGCAAGTGCCGGAAGGTCTTTTTGAAGGTGGCATTGCAGAGAGCGTAGCAGGCAGGGTTGATGGTGCTGTTGACATAGCAGAGCCAGTAGCCGATGGACCATACTGTGTCAGGGATGCAGCTCTGGCAGAAGGTGTTCACCAGGACCATGACATTATAGGGTGTCCAGGTGAGAATGAAGGCCAGCAGAATGGCAAAGATGGTCCGTGTCACCTTGCGCTCTCGGGCTGCCATCTGCCGCTTCTTGCGCACCTGGTTGCGAGCAATGCTGGCAAACTTGCGGGCCACATTGGCCGCCGGACGCATGCCAGCTGGCGTGGCAGGCACAATCTCGATGGCTGTCACACACTCATTGCCCGTCTGCTTCGTCACAATCTGGATCTTGGACCATTTGGAGGCTGGGTTGAGGGCCCGTGGCTGCAGGGGAGGGGCAGGCATGGCAGGCGTGGTGGCCTCTGTGGTCGACAGCTCCGTGGGTGGTCGTTCCTTGGTGTTCTGGGTGGCACTGCCCGAGCTGGACTCATTGGAAGTGTCCTTGTCAGCCACTGAGCGCGGCGGTGGTGGCAGGGCTGGTGGAGGGGCCTCCTCCAGCTTCCCGTTGCGCAGCTCCTCTCGAGCAGCTTCTCCTGGCGGGGGTTTCTTGATGCTCTGCTTCATCAGGGGGCTCTTGAGGAAGGCCAAAGTCTTGGCCTTCTTCTCCTTTGGGCCTTCGGGCCGGTGCTTGTGGACTCGGCTGCGACTGGCCAGGGAGATGTGAATGTAGAGCACCGTCATGATGACCACGGGCAGGTAGAAGGCAGCAATGGCTGTGCCGAAGGTCACTGCTGGGTTGGACAGGAACTGGATGAAGCATTGGTTGTCAGGCACTGTCCGCTTGCCCACCACAAACTGCCAGAACAAAATGGCAGGTGCCCAGAGCACAAAGGACAGGACCCAGGCCGCAGCGATCATGAGGCCTGCCATCTTGGTGGTCCGCCGGGCAGGGTAGGTGAGGGGCTTGGTGACGCAGAAATAGCGGTCAAAGCTGATAATGAGAAGGTTCATGACGGAGGCATTGCTCACCACGTAGTCCAGGGCCAGCCACAGGTCACAGACCACGGCGCCCAGGGGCCAGTAGCCCTTGATGATGTACACGGTGTAGAGGTTCATGGAGAAAGCGCCTATGATGAGATCTGCACACGCCAGGCTGAACAGGAAGTAGTTGTTGACTGTCTGCAGCTGCCTGTTGACCTTGATGGACAGCATCACCAGGATGTTGCCCACGACAGTCACCAGGCTCAGCGAGCCCGTCACCGTGGCGATGAACACCATCTCCACTGTCTCGTAGCGGTTATGGGTGGACGTGACCAGGCGCATGGACTGGTTGCCCGCGCTGCCGTTGACTGGTGTGAAGTTGGCCATGCTGGTCAGCGGGGATGGGCGGGCAGTGTCTGGGAGAGGAGAGAGCAAAGGGGTGAACTGTGGGAGCGGTTGGGGGTCAGGCAGAGGTAGACGGGAGTCAAGGTGACATCATTCCTCAGTTGCTCACTCCCTCCACAGTTATCGAGGGCCTGCTATGTGCCACACACTGTTTTTTAGGTGCTGGGGTTACACGAGTGAAAGAGACACACCCTGTCCCCATCTCCTGGAGCATATGGTCTAATGGGGGGAGACATACAAACACGTGAGCAACCAAAAAAGCCCTAGAAAGAAAACGTGGCAGGGGGAGGGGAGAGTGGGTGCATCAGAAGACAGACAGGACAGGGATGGCTCCTTGCCGGGTGATCAAGAGGTCCTCATCCAGGAGAGGCTCTGCGTGATAACAGACAGGTGCATGGAGAGATGCGCCAGCGGCTCCCCAGCAAGGGCAAGGGCAAAGGCCCGGGGGCCTGTGCGAGGCATGGACAGAAGCCAGCATGGATGGAGTCTGGGGGAGTGGGTGAGAGGAGTGGTCCCAGAGGTCAGCGTTCATTCATTCACCCACTCGGTCATTTCTTAACCAAACGTTACCAGGGAACCTGTTCTCCGATCCCTGCAGAAAGCACTGGAGACAAAGCCAATAATACAAGAGTATGTATTCGCAGCTAACATTTATTGTCTACCAAGTGCCAGGCACTTTCTATAGTTTTTACAGTATTAACTCATTTCATCCTCACAACAAACCTATGAGGGAAATACTGTTATTTTTTTTACTACTCACAGATGAGGAAACTGAGGTGCAGAGATGCTAAGTAAGCCGACCAAGCCTCCCTCCACCAGCTCCTTGATGTCATGTTGCTGGTGGGAGTGCGTGTGAGGTGGAGGATGTGGTGGGGAGAACAGCCCCATAACTAAGGGCCTGGCAGAGGCAGGCCAAAGAGCCACAGGGGCCAGATCCCACCAGGAAGGCTCCCGGAGGAGCAGAGGAGGTGGGGCTTGGAGCCGGCACCTCAGGGATGAGGAGGCGAGCACAGGGCAGAAAAGGCTCATCTCCGAGTGCTTATCTCCAGCCCCAGGGCATGGGAGTGGAGGCAGTGCAGAGGGAGCTCCCGAGGAACCCAGAAGCCTACAGGGCCCATCTGCTGAGGAAGGACCCCCATGGCTTCCCAAGGGCCAAGGCCAGTCCCCAGGCCTGACTGGGAACCTAAGCGGCAAGAGGATTGTCCCGAAGGGAAGAGGTCTGTCGAAGCTCCTGAGGGTGCCCTCCCTTGCCACTTCACACCCCTCACCCCTGGCACCCATCAGGGTCCCCGAGCTGAGCCCAAGGCCCCTCCCCTGAGCCTCCTCCCTCCCACCCGGCTCCTCTTCAGCTCTCCGCCCCCTTCCTCTTCCATCCATGTGAGGGAGGCCCACGCCCAGCGCACGGTGCCAGGGCAGCCGCTCAGCCCAGCCTTCTTCACACCCGCCAACACACACACCATAACAGACGCACACGGCCGCAGCCCAGCCATGCCAGCCCAGCAGCGCATGGGGCCTGGTCGTCTAGGCAGTCCTGTGCGGCTGTGCGCGTGACAGAGAGAGGGGCGGCAGTAGAGGAAGATGCACTCACCCTACAGCCTGGGCCCTGGCTGTGAGGCCACAGATAAGCCACCTCAACTTCCTGCTTCTCTTTCTCATTTGCAAAAGAGGATCCTGTCCTGGGACAACCCTCCCTCCCCACAGCGGCTATAGAAATCCACACCCATACTTGATCTCCAGCATGAAAATGTACTAGAGGCTGGAGACTGGAGCCAAGTACCAGGGTAGCACCCCCTAGCCTGGTCCCAGCCCCGCTAATCCACCATCACAGACACAGATCTCCTGGCCTACTGGCCTGATAGTTCAAGTTCTCATGTTCTAAATTCTTGGTTCACAGGAGGAGAGGCTGAGAGGGGATGGTGCCACCCCCAAGGTCACACAATGAGTCAAGGGCAAAAACCAGGTACCACCCTTTCTCAGGGTCTCTGACAGCCTCGTTTAGCTCTGAGAGCCTCTGAAATAGCAGCTCAGGCGCCATCCCCTGAGCTAGGAGGACAGTAGCACGCAGCCTGGAGGGGCTGCCATCCCCCAGGCACATGCAGGCAGGTACAGGGTGGGCAGGAGTGACAAGCCTGACCCAAGGAAAGTCTCACTTTAGCCTCCCAGGGCCAGGACACAGGCCAGCGGGATAAGAATGGGGGCTGGAGGTGCCAAATATGAAAACGTAAAAGCTCTGTTTTACTGAGTGTTAACTGAGTCAGGAGTCTCTCCCAGCTTTTTATATAGATTATCTGGTACCATCCTTACAACAGCCCGAAAAGGTAGTGACTGTTAGTATCCTCATCTCACGGATATAAATATCTTCTTACAGATGAGAATGTTAATTGGGCCGGCCCGTGGCTCGCTCGGGAGAGTGCGGTGCTGATAACACCAAGGCCATGGGTTCGGATCCTATATAGGGATGGCTGGTTGGCTCACTAGCTGAGCGTGGTGCTGACAACACTAAGCCAAGGGTTGAGATCCCCTTACCGGTCATCTTTAAAAAAAAAAAAAAGAATGTTAATTACCTTACCCAAAGTCACCCAATTTGTATGTAGAGGAGGGGGCAGGATTGGAACCCAGGACCCACCTTCTCAACTCCAAGGTGCTATTGCTCAGAGTCGATGTCCTGCTTCTGTTTCCCTACCTCCACCTCCCTCAAAACCACACAGCTGGGGGACTGGCCAGGTGAGGCTTGGGTAGGGTCCCCTCCCATTCCCACTTAGCTTTCCCAAAAGCTGAGACCTCTTTTCTTCTCCCAGATCCTGGCGGCCAGGCTGAGCCGGGACAGGCCGGTAGTTTAGCCCTGCTCCGGCCCACTTGAGGGAGCCGTCAGCTGCGGACAGGGTGCGGCTCCGAATCTCCCCTACTCCGCCCATCTTTCTGGACCCCTCCGGGTCACCCACAGTCTGACCGCAGCCTCCGGCGCGTTTCCCTGAAATCCGGGCCGCCGGGGATCTGGGGAGTCGAGCAGCCGCCGCCCGGGGCTGTGCGCGCCGCTAGATGGCAATGTCGGTCCCCGGGTGCAGGCTCCGGACCTAGAATGGGCGGCTGCTGTTCGCCATCGCCCCCAACTCCAATGCGACCTCCAACAGAGAGGAGCCCCCAGGAAGAGCCTCCGGGAGGAGGAACGTGGGGGGTCCCCTCGGCTGGTCCCATCTGACGCCGCCCCGGATCTGCCCTTGGCTGCGTGCGGGGTTCGAGGGTGGGAAAGTTAAGGGCGCCCGGATTCCACCCGGCACCCGGCGAGGAGCGTGTGGGCGGGAACGTCAGAGCAAGTTCTGTTTGTGTGTGATTCCGGGGGAGCGCGAGTAGACGCTCGTAGCTGCCTGCATGTGCGTGTGTGTGCGCACGGCCACGCCTGGATACCAGTGCGTCGGAGAGCGCGTGAGCATGGCCGCGCCATGTGGACACGTGCATGTGCATGCATGTGGGTGCCTGGGCTGCTGTGTTCTGGAGGATGCACACGGTTCGGTGTTGGTGTGAATGTGAACTTGTGTACACTGGCAAGTGCAGGGCTGAGAGTGGGTGACCGGTCACGTTCCAAACGCCCCTGCCAGGAGACTCAGCCCAGACCTCAGCTGTCTGCCTGAGGGCGGAGAGGGTCGGGCCAGAAATCAGCGCCCGGATCATGCCAGGCCTGTGGATGGATGGGAATGGGTCGCAAGCAGGACAACGAGGCCAGACTACACTACAGGCTGTGACGGCCCTTTGACTTGGGGACACCGCCTTAGCTGGGTGCCCAGTGGTGTCTGTGTGCTCTACCGTGCGGAGCGGAGTCCCAGCCTCGGACTGACGTTCTGCAAAGGGGCCGCTGCGAGACTCGCCCAACTGGGCCTTGAGGGACATCGGTCTCATCTCGGTGTGCCCTGTGGCGCATTATAGTCAAAGGCCGCCCAGTCTCTGGGGGAGAGGTCAACGGCAGTACACCCATGGGGAAGCCCAGCCCGGGCTTGGGTCAAAAGGGTGTAGACTCTTCCCTTCCTCACTGCTCGCCCTGCATCCTGCCGGAGAGGCACCGTTTGGCCCCAGCGGCCAAAGCGGACACCCGGCTTCTCAAGCCCCGGGCTCCATCGGGCCTCGAGGGTAGGGTTGGGGCTCATTCCTGGGCCCATCTGGACGCTCCTCCACGTGTCCGCCGTGGCCGACAGGGCCTGGCTCTCGGCGCCCGGCTCCCCCCTCCCCCCAGCCCGTAGCACGCAGTTCCTGCAGCCTCTGGGCGTGGGCACCATGCTCGCCCAGGTCCTCAGCCACTTCCCCTTCCCGGGACTAGACCGAAGGGGGCACTTCGGGAGCCTGTGGGGTGGTTTGAGGCTAGGTCCTCGGTTTTTAGGCGTTCACCCGGGGCTCTGTGAAGGCTGTGGCCCCTGGATACGTCTCTGGGGCGGGAGAAGAGACTCCGGAGTTCAGAGGAGGGAGTGGGGCGCAAGGGACTTGGCACCGACATTGTTCCCGACACTTCCGCCGCGGGGCCGGGGGATGCTTGGAGCTGGATCTCCCGGGCTCTGAGCCTGGGCAACAGCGGGGAGGGGTCCTGGAGTGGGGGAGGGGTGCCGGGAGCGGGCAGGGGAGTTTTCCGTCGGGGCTCAAGGTCGCTGATGGAGGACTCCAAGGCTCGGAGCGGGCTGGCGGCGCAGGGGCTGGGAGTGGGGGTTGGGAGGGAGGGAGGGGAGACGGGCGGGAAAAAGGCTCTTCGGGTCTCCAGCGCCCTGCAGGGCTGCCAGTGGGAGGACTGGAGTGCGGGGTCCCGCCCCCGACGGCAGCCCCTGGCTCCGTGGGGGCTGTGGGCGGCCACTCCCCCGCCCCCGACCTCCCGAATGCCCATCCCTTCCCAGAGGCGCACCCGGAGAAGCCTCCGGGAGACCTCCGGCCTTTCTTCCAGCGGGGTCCCCCGTCCCCGGGCCCTCTGCCGCTCCCAGCCCCGCGCTCGAGTCCCTAGAGAGAGCTGATACTGTGTTCCCGTCCGAACCACCTCTGGGGAGCCTGAGGGTCCCGAGCCCCGCGTCCTTCTCTCCCCGCCGAGACCCCCGCCCCCGCGCCACCGCGGAGTCACTTACCCGCCGCCTCTGCCCCGCTCCCCTCGCGCCAGACAGACGGCGGGACAGACGGGAGGCTTCGCGGGTCGGCGGGGCGGGCGGCCGGGCCGTGGGCCGGGGGCGGGGACGGGGTACCTAGGGGCGGCCCCTGCTCCGCCCGCAGCTCCCGGCGCTGTGGCTCCGACTCGCGCTCACGCTCGCACTTTTCCCCGAGCCGCGTGATGTCACGGGGAAGCAGCCAATCGTGGTGGGGCCGCGCCGCCCTCCCCGGGCCGGTCACCCAGCGGCGACGCGCGGGGGTCACCACCCGGGGCATCGGAGACCCCGGCGGCTCGCGCCCCTCTCCGGACCGGCCGGCAGCTCCGGCTCCGGCACTGTGAGGGCACCGCCCACAGTTGCCAATGCTGATTAGCAGGGGGCGCTGCCCTCCGGGGGGTGGGGGTATCCGCGTTGCCATGGGGACGCGCGCCCCCTCGTGGGCTGGGGAGGGAGCTGGCAGCCGCGTCTGGCCGCGACCCCGCCTCTGCCCTGACCACGCACCGGAGACCCCAGGTGTTTTCGCGCCTCTCCGGGACCTCACCTCTACGCGGCCCCGCTCCCGGCTTGACCGCGGAGGCGCGCGTGTTTGACCCTAACAGGAGGTTACGGATGGGGGGAAGGCTCTGCCTCCACGATTTCGTCGGGGCAGGGAGCATAGAGTTTCCAGCCTTAGGACTGTGTGTTGGCCGCCGGGCAGCCCGAGACGAGGGCGCCGTCGGGGCCTGAGAACGCGATGGAGAGAAGAGACAGGCGAGGGTCCGCTCATCGCGGACAACCCGCCCCCCGGCCCTCCCGGTTCCCTGCTCCCGCGCGCCAGGCAGAGGAAGGGGCGCGCACCCTTTCCTAGCCCCAGGATGGGACGCGCCGCTCATCCAACCGCGGCCTGGAGAGCGAGTTCGCCGCTGCCTGAGAGGGAAAGCCAGGTGCCCAAGGTCACCTGGGGCGGAGCCCGGAACGAGACCCCAGAGGGAGAGCCGCCAGTCCGAGGTCTCCGGGAAGCGCACCGGCCGGAGCCTGGGGACGCAGGGCCTTGCCTGCGCCGGGCGGAAAGTGGAGCGGCTTCAGCACCTCGGAGAGCTCCGCCTCCGCCCTGGCCTGGCGGCGCCGGCGCTTCATCTCCCTCTGGGACAGCCCTTCCCGGGGCCAACCAGGGGCCGACGCACCCCTCAGCGCCCGGGCCCCGAGGCCTGTCGCCTCAAACTCTCTGAGCGCAAACACCCGATTAACCTTAAGACGGCTGGTCCCTTCTCTTGGAAAAACAACACAAGTCCCACCCCCTCCCCCTCCCCCAAAGGACGGCGGGGGGCCGCGTGTGGGGGAGGGGGAGGCGGGGACTGCAGTGGAGGAGAGACAGCAGGAGCTTCTGGCAGAGAAGGGGCGGGAACCCGAGCAAGAGTCAGGCGGGGGAAGGGGCGCACACCCGCCCTCCTAGCCCTAGGATGGGATGCCCTTGGTGTGGGGCTCTCCATTGCTGTCTGCGGAGGTGGAGGACGGGTCCCCAGAGCCCCCAAGGACGAGGATTGGGGCTGTTCAGAGTTGGGACCTTCAGGGCTGGAGTGGGCTGGATGGGGTATGGGAAGCCCTGTTCCCTTATATGAATGATCTGGTCTCCCATGTCCTCATAACTGAAGGTGAATCAAGGGCTATTCCTGTCCCCTTCACAGAAGTTGGTTCATACCGCAAGAAGGTGACAGTCCTGCACCTGTTCCACTTTGCCATATCCCTCCTCCTAGGGTCCAGGAGAGAGTGGTGCTCCTAGGAGAGTAGAAGGGGGTGTATGAGGGGAGGGGCAGATCCTTAAAACAGCCCAATGGGGAAAGAAGCAAGGCCATGGAGTACAGGCCACAGAAACCAGAAATGCCTCTAACCACTATCTTGAGTGTTTCCAAAAGTTGTCAGGCAAAGCCATTCTAATTTCTCCACAATCCCTGCTCTGGAGAGGGACTTTTGACCTTCCCTCACTGCCCAGTCCCAGAACCCAGAGTGGAACCCTTGAGAACTGAGTTGGGAACCAGGGACCTGACTTAGTCTCTCTGGTCTGCCTTTGATCCAAGACAAGTCACAGAACTTTGAAACTCATCTCCAAAAGGGGTTGTCAATCTTTGCCCTGCTGACCACGCAAACTTGTAATATGCAAGGGGACCTGCAAAGGTTTGACCACCAGGGGAGGGCTTTCCAAGGGGTTGGTGTGGGGACAGACAGTTGTTGACAAGGGTCTCTAACAAGGAGGGGTGAGGTTCATCCTTGGCCAGAAACTGTAGAGGCAGGGCCAGGCAGGACCAAATTTGGACCACTTCATCCACAAGACCTCTTTATACCCTTTTCCCCAAAGCAATAGAGCAAGTAGGGCCCCACTCTGTTTTTCCTACACCTTATCTTCTTTCTGTAAGAAATTATAGCGGCTGAGGCATGTGCTCTGGAACCATATGCTACCTGGGTTCAAACCCTGACTCTAGGGGCTGGCCTGTGGCTCACCCGGGAGAGTGTGGTGCTGATAACACCAAGGCCACGGGTTCGGATCCCACATAGGGATGGCTGGTTTGCTCACTGGGTGAGCGTGGTGCTGACACCACCAAGTCAAGGGTTAAGATCCCCTTACCAGTCATCTTTAAAAACAAAAACAACAACAACAACAAAAAAAAACAACCCTGACTCTACCAGTCATGTGGTCTGGGGGTAACAGCAGTAACCACCTCAGAGGGTTTTTGTGAGAAAGTTTTGGAGAGATAATACACATTGTGTCCTTGGCATGTGGCTTACACTCAACAAATGAATAGTCCCCACTGTCAGACAAATGGATTCTTCCTCCTACCGGGGTAGAGGACAGGAATTGCAGCAGGGCTTCCTTCTCCTTCCATCCTTCAATTCTTAGCTCAAATCCCACCTTTTAAAGGAAACCTGACCTAGCCAATCCTGTGCTCTCTGAGCTCCCATGATTCAAGATTATAAAGCTGGAAGTAACTTTAAAAGGTTGCATAATACAAGCCCTGCATCCTCCTACAACAGAAAGTAAAGTCCAGAAAAAGCAAGCGGCTTACCCAAGGTCACACAGCTAACTGAGGTGTCTAGTTCAGAGCTGTTATACAATTTTCTAGAAGATTCAAGTGTTCTTAACTAGATAATGTTTCACACTTTTGTATTACTTGCTTGCCCATTTATCTCTCATTTTGTCTCTGTTGAGGCAGAACCTGTAATTCTGCATGCCCCATAGCATCTGGGACAGAGTTGGGCATAAAAGATACTCAAGAAGTACTTGTTGCTGGCAAAAAGCCCTGGGTTTGCTCTGATTTTCCTTTATACCTGAATTTGAGACAAATTTCCTTCTCCCACTTTCTAATAGGCTTGAAAGTTGATGTAGCCAAGGCCCATGGATAGAGCAGGCCTTTCAGCCACTGTTCGGAAGACACCAAGAGAGACCTGAGACCTTGGGGGATGCCTGCAAACAAGACTAAGCTCCTTGCCTGGCCACCCAGACATCTGCTGTGGGTAGTTTCCCAGGACTGGAGGGGATCCAGCTTTTTGGCCAGTTACATCTTCACTCCAGACCTGTAGTCCTGGGTAGGAAGCAATCAGGATGAGTGACATTCCATTGTTCCTACCTATCCACCAGCCAGTGGAAGGCTGCTCCAATCTGTAGCAGGTCCCTGGGAAGCAGGAGGTGGTGGTACACACAGCAGAGGCGGCAGCCCATACCTGCCCAGTCATTAGGACAGTGCTGGGCAGGACTGTGCTGGGGAACCAGGGCGCGGCTCAATTCAATCTCCCCACATCCCAATCACCATCCTATCCTCCCTCCTCCATGGACACAAAAAGAAGAGCCTGGAGAGGGGCATATCATCATTTTAATGATGTAGATCTTTGGTGTTTCCCTCATTCGCAGTAGACTATCCCCTCTCTTCCCACCACAATGTTTCTATGATGAGTTACAAACAGAAAGGAAATCACATTTTCATATTAAAACAAAATGATCAGAGCCTTGATTTCTCCACTAGAAACTACACATACAGTTCAAGATTCCACATGCAACACCTTAAATCACAGATCAAGACCTCACATTCTGACCTGGAATCTCATCCCCTCCCCCAGCCTTGGGCTAGCTTTGGCCTAGGCCCAGATAATACTGACACCACAGGTGCTGCTCTAAGGGTCTCAGGGGTGGGGGGTTGGAGCTTGGTGCACAGGCCCTGGGGGCGGGCCAGCCTACACCCCCCATTCCTAAGTGAGGACCTGCCCACTTCCCCTTGACCCCATCTTGTATCAGGCCAGCAGGCTGCCCCCTACACCCCACAGTTGTCCCCATTAGTAAATTCAGGAAGTCCCTGTCCTCAGGAATCTGGGAGCCTGGCCTGACCCCCGACTGGTCTCTGTGGGGTAAGACGATGAAGAGAGACTGAAGCTCTGGAAGGCTCAGAGATGGAGGTTCTTTCTAGGGGCCGGGCTGCTCCTCCTGCTCTTGGGCTCCTGGGGGCTCTGCCCACCCAACAGAGCGAGCAAAGCTGCCCCACTGGCCTCTGTCCAGGATGACTTGGCCCAGATCTGGAAGACTGTTCACTCTTCCGGGGCTCTGTGTCCAGAGCTGAGTCCTTTGAGCCCATGTTCCTAGAAGAAAGGGGGCTCACAGCAGAGATACCCACTGGCTCCTCCATTTCCACTAAGCCCAGCAATGTGGGTCTCCTGGGCTCCAGATCCTGGAAGGTTCTAGTCGCGAGGCAAGCCTTGCCCCTTCGACTGCCTCACGCCCACTGACTGACTCCTCTTGACCCCCCACCCTCCCGCTCCTCCTGTTCCCTGATGCAGCCAGCAGCTCCTCTGCAGGTTCAGTTCCCAGTCAGCTGTGAGGTCCGGTTTCTGCTCAGGGGCTCGAGGGGGGGGAGCACCAGTGCACATATTTGTCTCTACCTATTCCGTGGCTCCCCACTGGGGCCCGCAGCTCTCCCCCTGCTGCTGCCACCACCATCTGGAAGGTGGTTGTTATTGGTCAGGTTGCAGTGCAGGCTTGGTCCCTCAGTGCTAGGAAGGGGGATAGGGACAGGGGAAGAAGAGGGCAGAGTTGGCTGGGGTGGCTCCCACCCAGCGGTGCCACGCTGGTCCCAGGAGGCTGTCCGGGGGCTTAGGCCTCGCTCTGCCAGTTGCCCTGGATAGGGACAGGGGAAGAAGAGGGCAGAGTTGGCTGGGGTGGCTCCCACCCAGCGGTGCCAGGCTGGTCCCAGGAGGCTGTCCGGGGGCTTAGGCCTCGCTCTGCCAGTTGCCCTGGTTCCGGGAGCAGTCCCCGAGAGGTGGAGGGCTGGGGCGAGGAGGTGCGGGCGGCACCAGGCTCAGTGCCCGTCTGGGAGCTGCGGTGAATGCGGTGGCTGACGATGATGTTGTTGCCAAAGCCACCCATGGAGGCCATGGTGGTGCTCTGTTCCCGCTGCACCACGGCCGTCATGCCCCCCTCCGCCATGAGCCTCTGGATCCTGCTGAGGGCGTCTTCCCCGCTTGCGCCGAACTCTGAGCCCTCACCTGGAAGGCACAAAGCCGAAGAGATAGGGAATTAGCTGCTGAGCCAGGCAGGCAGCCACTAGTAGCAGCTGAGGGAGTCTAGACTAAAATAGGAATAAGAGCCCAACTCTGTCACTGTGAAAATCAGTCTTGAAAGGCAGACAAAAGCCCTCAAACGATCACAATTCATACCTCTGTTCTACTGGCGGGGAAACTGAGGCCTAGGAAGCATGAGGTGGTCAAGGCTACTTGGCCAGTTCAGCAACAGAGCTAGACCAGAAGACAAGTGTTCAGCTTTGATTAACCCCTTCAGCACCAGTGCCAGGCTAGTGTGAAAGAAGGCTGAGGAGGTGGGCCCAGAAAGCTTGCTTGGTCTGCCCTCTCCCTGTCTTGGGTAATTTCATAGACCTACAGCTGGGGTGCGGTATGCTGCGTGATCATGGGAAAAAAGGGGGGCACCCTACAGGGTGTAGCCCAAAGGCAAACAGTCTGCTTGGCTTCATTTCAACGCTGTTTTCCTTCAGTGTTATGTTATTTCCTAAAGGCTCAGGAGGAAGTTTGGATTTTTAAACATCCTTCTGTATTGTGTCTCTTTCTCTCTTCCTCCTTTACCCACCAGTCTTCACAAGTTACTGTCCTCCCAACACCATCTTCCCCTGGAGACAGCCAACTGCCCAGCCCAGGTCTGAGTTTTCAATCTGCAGGTCTAGGGAGGGAAAGAAGGGTTCTGTTCCTTTCCTTCCTAAAGGCTCAGGCATTCTCTTGTGTGGGGACAAATAAGACTTTGGCTCAATTCTCAGCTCTGCTGCTCACTAGCTGGGTGACTTTGGACAAGCCCCCTAACCTAACATCCACATCACACAGTGCTAGGCAGAGGAAAGGAGATAGACACACCCCAGGCACTCGGTCAACAGAGGCTGCTGTGACTAACTTGGGCTCTGCAGCTGCGGCAGCAGTACAGTTCCATCCTGAGAACCTCCCCTCCAGCCTGCTGCTCAGCCCTCAGTGGGGTGAGAACCAGGCCATGCCCATGGCTGACTCGGATCAAGGCTCCCAGATTGCCAGGGATGGCCCCACTGAACTACTGATTTGTTTCCTTTGGCTACTTGCTGGCCAGTTTGGGTTTCTGCAGTTTTGGGAGCTTTGATATGAGAATTTCTTCTTTTGGGGGGTACTTGTTGTCAACAGCCATTTTTACAAGACTCTCTTTGCTCCCTCATCAAGTCCCTTTTCTCTGATGGCCTCATTAGAGATAGATTCCAGGATGGCCAGTTTCATAGTTTAGCTGTGTTTAAGGCCCCTCTCTCCCTTCCTGCTAGTGCTTAGTAGCCTTGTGCTAGTAGCTCTTCCTCTAGGTCTTAAACAATTTTCCTCTGCACTAAGCAGCGGGGGCTCCACCTGGGATTCAGCTATGTCCAACCTGCTTTTCTTGAGATCCCCTGGTAAACTCTGCCCCTGCCCTTCAAGGCGGCTGCATGTACCCACTTCCTCCTAGGAAGTTCAGCTCCAGCTCCCAGGACAGAAGGAAGGAAAATCCAAAAGGCTCCTGGACTACTGGATCAAGCCTGCCTTCCCTCAAGGGAACAGCCTTCGAACAGTGGGGTACAGGATAAGAGGAAAGGTCAACCTAGGGCCTCCGTGCCTGTGAGCAAAGAGGGCTGCCTAGGGAAGCCCCATAGGGACTTCCCTGTGTTCACTGCAGCCCCCACTGCTTTCTAAGAATCCGACACACTGAAGACCTTCCCAGGTCGGTCTGGGATGTACCGTGGGCTGGCCTGAGGCCTGCTGGCACCAGAGCTCACTATGCTGGGCCCTGTGCCTGGTGAACCATCAGCTTTCCTCGAGATAGTTTCTAGGGGCAAGACAGGCTGCCTTGGGGCCCTATGGGTGCTGCTGCAGCCAAGCCCCCAGAGAGCCCCTGATGGGCTTTATTGGGCTCTGGTGGAGGCCCTGCTGCCAGCACGCAAGTCTGAGCCCTCCTGTCCTCTAGCACTGCTTGCCTACGGCTCCGGCCAGGCCACCTCTCACTACAATTGTAGTGGTGCTTCCTAACTGGTCTTCTTGCTTCCAATCTCCTCTTTTCTATCCAGTCTCCAAGCTGCTGCTATTACTATTCCAATCAAGCTCGGGTTAAGTCCATATCTGTTCAAAACCCAGCAGCTCCAAGAGCCCTCAAAGTAGGCAAAACTCTCTAGTTTGACAGCTGTGGGCCCTCTGACTAGGCCCTCACTGCTTTCCTGCCCACCCTCTTCATGCACCTGATAACCTTCACTGGAGCAGATGAGGCACCATTCTCCACACGCCCGCGCTTGTTGGGACACCCTGGCGCATACCCTGCCTGCTCTGCTCTTGCCGTATCTCCTTGGTTCTGAAGTCTACTCAGTTTCAAGGGCCAGGGCAAATGCCATCTCTTTCACCTGGTCTTCTGCACCCACCCCCAGCTGGAAGGGGCTGCTCTTACTCTGAGCCCTCGCAGAGCTCCACACCTCTCCGTGTTAGTTATCTGTGGCTGTGGGATCTCTCTTCTAGGCTATTAGTTCCTGAAGGTCTTGGAGTAAGTTTTACTCATCTTTGGGCCCAGAGTCTAACACATGGTCTTGTGCTTGCTGGGTATTTGTCAATATATGTACAGATGAATAAAAGGGCTCCCAGGCTATTTACAGGGGCTCCAGACTTAAGGCAACTTCGAAAACTGGTCACTTGTTACCCCTTGCAGTGGGAGAAGCACTTATAAGTCTATTTCCCTTCTATACTTGCTCTTGGAGGGAACAGACATGATGGCTTCATCTCTGAATGTGATTCCCTCTACAATACTTTTGGTGCCTAATACCATATGAGACACAAAGTTAAGTGTTTAAAAATGAATGAATGAGAGATTTAAAAATGTACACGAGTGGTTTCTTCAGGGCTGGGTGTGGATAGCTTCAGCCTACAGAGCTGTGAGCTGTGCTTCTCTCCTGGGAACTCTAAGCCTAGGCTAAGAACCACTGAAGGGAGCTGGCACATTCCTCAAGAGGGAAAAATACTGGGGCCCAAAGGAAATGGCAGCCAGGACAGTGATCCAGGAGCAGTGGTGGCCACAGGGGTCTATTTTGCTGTCTCCTTCCCTGTAAATCCTAAGGAACATTCTGGATGCAGAGACCAGGGTGGGATATGTAACTTCCTATAATGCCCTGCAAGTACCTTTAATTCTGGGGGTTACACTGCCCTGAAGAGCAGAAGAGAGACCCAAAGCTCAGAGAGTTAAAGCAGGAGCTGACCTTCCTGACCTCAGGGGGCTCACTGGTTTTTCAGCTACTCCCCTTCCCCTGTGCTTTTTCTTGGCCCAGGGCCAGTTATAGCTGTTATAACTACCATCTTCAGCAGACAAGAAAAGAGACCCAGACAACGTTTTCCAGGGGTTGGGACAGGGCGATGGGGCACTCTGAATAGTGCGGCACAGCCAAGCTCAGGGGCAGGGCCTTGCCTCAGCTGAGTTCATTCATTCCACACACTTCCTGGATGCCTACTGTATACCAGGCAGGCACTGTACCAGTGCTGGGAGCAAAGTGAGCCCAGGGAATGCTTCCCTCCCTGTCTGAGCTCCTCTCTTGGCCAGCAGGGTAGGGAGGTTTGTTGCAGGGTCAAGTGCAAGTTCTGAAGGAGGCCAAACTCTTTTGCCAAAATTGGACAAGCAATAAAAGCCAGCACCTGTAAAATCCCCCTGTGGAGGGCCCTTCCTGGAAGTCCTGGAAAGAGCTGAATGGATTTTAATCAAATTATTATAGAACAAAAGAATGAGAAGTAGCCTGGGAACCCTTTGGTGCTAGCTGACGGGAAAGGGCTAAGAGAGGGACAGGCCACAGAACAATGATTACTGCAAGCAGAGCTGGTTTCCCACATTAATAAATCTGGGCCTCTGTAGGGAGTATATGTGCAGGTGGTATCCCCCTTCAAGCCAAGCCCAGAAGGGTTAACCTCCTTGGCCAGGGTTTCCCTATCCATGTTCTTGCATTGCAGATCTGGTTTCCAGGTTTGTCAATACAAAGAAAGGAGGCAGGAGTGGGAGTGGGGATGGCGGATGCCTGCCTCTGGATGAGGAAGTTTGGGTCCAGGGGGAGTCCTGATTACTGGTCTCCCCTGGGAGGAATCCAGTATCATAGCACTGGGGTAAGCACCACAGTACAAGACTCCTGGCCCTAGGAGAGACAAGGCTGCACAGTGATACCCACTCCTCAGTTCCCCATACCCCCTCCAACCCATGCCTCCCCTCCCCTGAATGCTTCATGAAAGGGTCTGAAGAGTGGGGATCTGGAGCTCTGGGCAAAGTCAGCAGGCTACAAACAGAAGCAGCGAGCTTCCCGGCCCCGGAGCTGCCAAGGCTCCTGGCTCCTGCCTGCTGCTCCTGCTGACAAGCGCCATACCTTGGAAAGGCTTGCCCTCCACGGAGGGAGGGGGCAAGGAATGAGGTCCCAGATTCTAGAAACGGGGAAAGAGAGCTCCTTCCCTCCTGCCCACCCTTTGCTCCCACCCCCCAAACAGGAAGAAAGGAACTTATAGTAGACTGGAGGCCAGAAACGGGCTGGATGCTAACCAAGAAAAAAAGCAGAGAATTCTTTGAGAGCTGAAACACCAGAGGATGTACTTCTCAAGCCCACAGCTCCTGGTCCCAGAGCCCCTGCTGCACTTCACCTTCAGGATAAAGGGCCCGCTCCCAACCCAGGCCCCTGTAATCTGCCCTCTCTACTCTTCCAGCCTACTTCTCAACATGCATGAGCACAAACCCGCTAGCAGTCCTCTGGACTGAGTGTGATGTTTCTGAACTTGGCGCCCCTGCACATGTTGTCTCCTCTGCCAGGATTGCCTCCCCCCACTCCACTCTGCCTGACTAACTCCTATGCATCCTGGAAGACTCAGCTCAGGACCACCTCCTCCAGAAGTCCTCCCTGAGCCCCACAGCTGGGCACAGCCCCTCCTTTGTGCTCCCAAGGTCCTGATCATCTGCTTAAGTGATTATCTGCTTAGGTGTCTGTCTCCCTCTCTATACTGTAGGTTCCTTGGGGAAGGACAGAAGCTCATTTGTCTTTGTAGCTCAAGTTAGGGGACACATGGTAGACACTCAGTAAATGGCCATCAAATCAAATCAGAGGGGACTGCCTAAAGACTCCAGCCTACCTCTCCAAATCCTTCCTGGGTAACCCTCAGGCTACCTGGCTTTATCAGGGGCTCTCATAGGCTGCCCTTCAGGGGCTGCTGGGGGAGAGGTTTGGGCACTCTGGCTGCACTGGAGAAGCCTGTGGTGGTTTCTGGTGTGCCTCGCTCTCAGGCTCCCTAAAATAAGCCTAGTGGTCTCCAGGGTGGATCAGAGTCCACAGAAACATGCACAAATGGGCTAGAGATGGCTGGAAGAGACTTAACTGTCTCCTTATCAAGGCTCAAAGCTGCAACTGGCTGTCCCAGCCAGCACTGCCAGCTGCTCATGTCCCCACCAAGGGTGTTGCCACCCCACAAAGAGCCGTGGGCCTCAGACGTAGGAGGTGGGCTGGGCCACAGACCAAAAAGGGACTTAACTTTGAAAAATTTCAGTTTATGGCAGCAAGAAAGACAGTGCTCTGTGGGGGACTGCAGTGTAGAAAGCTGTTCCCTGGTGGCACAGGCAAATTTGTTACTCTTTGCCTGATGCACACCATGGCTTCTCCTCCCATGGTCTCTTCTGAGCAAATGGCTCAACAAAGACCTAGAAAATATGTGTCTGTTTGCAGGTTGCCTTGTTTGGGAATAGGACCAGCAAGGGGGCTGGGGAGGAGGGTGGGGGGTGAGGAGAGTGACTGAGTGAGAAAGTCCTGTTTAACACAGCTGCTGACGGACTCCTAAGTGGCTCGAGCCCTACTGCTGGGAAGTGCTAATTGGTTCTCAGAAGTGTGAGCCGAGCACAAAGCACCAGGGTTGAGGCTGGCTGAGCCACACCTGAAGCAGGCTGACGGTGTGCCAGGCTGCGGCCAAAACGGCAGGGAACCCCAGGTGCAACAGGACCAGGAGAGGTCTGTGGCAGTGCCAATCTGCCATGCTAGCAGGGTTAACACAGTTATCTGGAGGTCAGCCTGGAAGCCTGGGGTGCACTCCTCTGGAACAAGAGCTTGCATAGTGAGTCTCTCTGCCAGAACTTTCAAAAAGAGAGCTACTTTCTGTGCTCTTTGGAAAAACAGCCTGGGTCCTCCAAGTTTAAAAGGAGGAGGAGGAGGTCAGCATTACTTGGTGGGAGCTGAGCAAAGCTACAAGTGCAGCTCAGCTTACTGGAAACGGTGACCAAGCTCAGGGAAATGATGTCCCTGCTTGAGGAGGTTGCCACCAGGTGGGCATTACCCAGACACAAGAGGGGTAAACATCGTGACTGGGGAGTGGCACTCGCACACCATCATCTGTGTACATGGAGGGCCCAGGAGCCTTAGGCTCCCTCTCCCAGGGAGTATGTTCCCAATCACCCACCCCAGGTCAGACTCCCCCTCTAGCACCGCAGGCTCCTACCTTCACCAGGACCCGAGGCTGCTGTCCCTGGCTCCTGTACCTCCCTCTCAGTCTGTGTTTCAGCATTCTGCAGCTGAAGGGCCAGAGTCTGGGTGCCCTGAGATGTCACTGAAGTGCTGGGGTTCCGGGGCTGCAGCCCGATTGCATTCATGAGGCCCATGTCTCTGTCAGTCCTCCATGTGGCTCTGCTGGTTCTAGGGAGAGAAAAGCAGACTGCAGTCAGGCAGGGCTTGGGACAGCACTCCTTACAGAACTCTGTCGGCTCTGCGCCAATCTTCAGGGCACAGCGAGGGCCAGGGCCTATAAGCTGAGAAGAGAGGCCCTGAGCTCCTGCAGCTACCTCCTGATGTTCCTTCTGCTTCAAGATCAGTCCAGGCCCCGGGACAACGAAAGGAGGCCACAGAACCATCCAATCTTGCAAACCCAGCTGGTCCAGTCACTCTCCTAGACAACAGGCCCTGTTTTGGTGGTGGTTGGTGGTGGGGGGGTACAGATGGCTAATCTGAAAAGACTCATTTACATTCAGGAATCTGCTAGCTGAGATCCATGAGACAAAGGGTAGTAAGCAGTAGTTTCTCTCTTTAGCTTTATCTTCCTTCTAACTATATGCTGGCAAGATTCCGTTGAAATTCTTAGAACTTTCAAGTGGACTGATATCTCCATTGGAAAGGAAACACCAGAACTTTTTTTCCCTCAGGATTCTGCTCCTAGGGCCGCCCCGTGGCTCACTTGGGAGAATGTGGTGCTGATAACACCAAGGCCAAGGGTTCAGATCCCTATATAGGGATGGCCGGTTAGCTCACTTTGGAGAGCATAGTGCTGACAACACCGAGTCAAGGGTTAAGATCCCCTTACCGGTCATCTTTAAAAAAAAAATTCTGCTCCAAATCATGGAAACACTTATGAGGCTGTTCTGGGATCCTCTTTCAGGGGCCTTCTAAGAAAAAGCCCCTTGAAGGTAGGGAGCATAAGCTGCCCTACAAGGAAGGCCCAGGCCCAAGGTCAGCTGGAGCTGGCATCAGAGGAAGCCCAGAACTTTTGAGACTGTCACCAGACACTCATATTTCTAACTGCTTCTGGGACTATTCCTCCAGCTGTTCCTACAGGAAGCGGCAATTGCCTTGGTTTATCATTGACCCAATGTTTTTGAAAACATTCCAGTCTTCATTAGTGAATTAAGTGATAAGAGGATCAGTACCATATTCCTACTCTCTAACTGGCCCCTGGAGAGGCTTTGTCCCTAGGCAGCTTGGTCCCTGTGGTCCTGGTCATCTGAGAGATCCCTCCACTGATTCTCCCTGGGCCAAACAGCAGACTTCGTGGGGCAGCATCTTTATGCAGTCCCCTGTTTTCTCTCCTCACCCCACGTATGCCCAAACACTATGACCAGGATGGGAGGGGGCCAGGGGTGTTCTAAATAAGACTTTGGGAGCAGAGGTTTCATTCTCTTTCTTGGCCATGGAACACTTTTCTCAAATGAAACTGTCTGCAAAAGCTCAATACATGAAGCAGATCAGAGAGCAGCTGATCTGGTCAACGAGGAACCCAGAGCCCTGGAGCACAGTCTGAGGGCGTGGCTCAGCCCCTCAAAAGCAGGAGGAAGGGACAGGCCTCCAGCCAGCTGTGCCCCTCCTACTTCACAAACTCACCCAGGTCGCTCGCTGCTCCTGCTGTTGGAATGGACAGTGAAGACAGTCTCGTTCAGCTGGTCCCAGTAGTACTCAACACCAGAGTTTAAGGCCCTGAAAATCATTTGGGAAGTGTGGAGAAGAGAGGGTGGAAGGCATTAGGGAAGAAATGAAAAGAACCTCACAATTCCTGGGCTCTGTGGACTGTGGCTTGGCAGCCCATCCTTTCTCTCTCCTGGGGCTGGGCTGAGACTAGGACGAGATACTCCATCATGATGCTCGGTGCCAGAGCAATTCTGTCAAATCTCTAGCAGCCCAAAGGCCTGGAATGGTGGATTTTGCCTCTTCCTTCCTCCAGACAAGGCCTAACTAGTTCCTCCTTAGGGTTCAGAGATAATTTAAAAAAAAAAAAAAATAGCAACACTGGACGCAGGCAGTGGGTTCAGAGTGGTCTTTAGACACAGAGAAAGGAGCTAAGATGGCAAGAGAGAGGCTGGAACAAGGTTCATCGGAGAAACAGGGTACCGTAAACAGTCCTGTCAAAAGCACACAATTGGTCCTCAGAAGCAGAGGCTCCAGAAATAATGACAGTGCTGCTGGGTCTTCCCTACTGCCATGAGGCTGGCAGGAAGGAGAATGAAGACATCTCAACATTCCTAATGTGCCTGGAGTTCAGAAATCTACACAGAAAAAAGCCCTCGCTGAGCTGGAGTGGCCCATGCCACTTTCTTTTCTGGACCTAGGGCTTCCTTTGCCAGGGTTGGCAGGACAAGTATTTGGGAAACATACTCCCGGAGCATGAGAGACCCTGTGAGTCTTACAGGGTGGGAAGGGGAGAACCTCCAGTGGCGATGGGCTGGCCTGCTGATCACAGAAGGAAGAGTTTATAGCTGCTGAGTTCTAAGACTGCCAGCCCTTTCCTGCACTGGACTATCAAGCAGTTTCCTCTAATCTCACGCTGCCGCCAGAAGGAAAGCAGTGGTCTCTCATCTTTCTGTACTGATGTGCCACCTCAGGCAGCAATCTTAGCTGACACTGACTGTTGCCAAACACAAGACAGCTTTGCTTTTAAAGATTCCTTCTTGAAGAGGTGTTACCTAGCTCTAGTCACCAGGGGTGAGTGTAGAGCGCTGGTGATGGTTGTGAAATGCAGGCGCAGGGGGTGGGAAAGAGGTGTCTTTGAATCCGTTGATCAGATCACTGGTGTCCATGTAGAGATCCTAAGAGATGCTCCAGCTTTGCTCCTAAATGGGACAGGGCAGGGCACATATGCTTGAAGGGCTCTGCTATGGACTGAACTGTGTCCCCCCAAATTCATATACTGAAGCCTATCCCACAACGTGAATTCTCCTAAATGGGACAGGGCAGGGCACATATGCTTGAAGGGCTCTGCTATGGACTGAACTGTGACCCCCCAAATTCATATACTGAAGCCTATCCCACAACGTGAATTTATCTGGAGATAAGGTCTTCAGGAGATAAATAAGGTTAAGTGAGGTCATAAGAGTGGGGCCTGAATCCTATAGGACTGTGGCCTTATAAGATGAGGGAGGGAAAGAGAGAGATGTCTCAGCAAGAAAGTGGCCATCTACAAGCCAGGAAGAGAGCCCGAACCCGGCCACACTGGCGTCTTGATCTCAGATTTCCAGCTTCCACAACCGTGAGAAAATAAATTTGTTTTTCAGCCATCCAGTCTATGGTATGTTGTTACGGCAGCCTGAGCAGACAAAGTCCAACAAAAGTCAGCTGTTTAGCCTGGAGGCCTAGACCACCCTCCTTTAACAGAACTTACTTCCATAAAGAACAAACAAGTCAAAGTCAGTGCGTTATAAGGATTAGCCAGTAAAAGATGAGCTGGGGAGGTAATGTGAGGTAGTTCCTTCTAAATTTGAGGGTTAGACAATATAGAGGCCTGACAGGGCCTGGATGATGAGGAACTGCATACCTGGTGTTGCCCAGGTGAAGGGTGACAGGATGAGGCACTGAGCTCCCAAATCTGTCTTTAGAGGGTCACTAAGATTCTGGGCATTAAGCTTCACCTGAGGAAATACTTGCTTCTTTAAAAGAGAAAGAGCCACAGCCAAACCAAAGGGCTCTTCCTTTCACTGCTCTCTACTAAACCCTTCCCAGCTTCTATTAGAGCGCCTGCTGGGCTGCGAATTTGGTGCAGTCTTCTTCAGACCACCCCATTAAAAAGTAGTATCTCCTTCCTCTTGTAAACACTCAGCTTATTTTGTGGGATTTGGGGGGTTGTCTGAGAACACTAGAGGACAAAGGTCAGAGGAGGCAACCTTACGCTTGGGAAGAGGCAAATGGCCAGAAGTCAATAGCAGAGGCCTCCAAAATTCAAGTCATCACTGCACTTTTTGGTGAGCAAATCCTGGCTGCATTAGGCACTATGTGATGCCAGCTGCCAGGGAGCCTTTGATTTACAAACTTGTCAAGATTTATTGACAGGTTGCAATACCATGTGGGTCCCTGCCAAATCTCTCCTCTGTAATTCTTGCTAGCCAGGGCTGGTTAGTGACAACAAACTATTCACACCAAACCTACAACAAACCGTGCACTGCGGGACCAGGAACCTTGTTATCTCACAGAAGAGGCTTGCCAGAAGACCCACTGTCTGAGTGGGGACTATCAGCATGGTGCCGGTGGCCAAAGGGTCCCCTCAAATGCCTTCCATCTGGGCAGTGTGCATCACGAGCTCAGAGCCATGAAACTTGGCTATTTATTGAAGAGGTCAACTTCCAAATAGAACAGCGCTGTTACTGCATCAGGTGTGTTGCTCCACTCTCTCTCTTCCCCAGTCCCTCCTGCTCCCACAAACAGGTCTAATTCAAAGCTCTGATCTGTTCTACTTTCTGTGGTCAGAGGGTTGACCATGAGAAGCTCATGGATTTGGTGCAAATTCCAGGCACTGTACCAAGGAACAGCATTGAAGACACCCTCCCTGGTTTCTAAAACTCTTAGCCTTTAATGCTCAATATCACTGATTTCTGCATGTAAGCTACAGAATGATCTCAACCATCTTCTTCCTCCAGGGTCTTAGTGAGGATGAATGAGTCATTGTTTGTTCTCGGTTCTTCCTGCAAACTAGACAAACACACAAAGAGATGAAGAACAGTGAGAAGGCCAATCAGGGTCAGCCTTTTCAAATGACTTCCACTTAACATCTGGCTTTCTTCAGCAGCATCTGCAAGCTATGCCCCTGGGCTTGGCTCAACGACTTCCTTGTGCTGGGACCTTCCTGGGCTTCCTGAACATACCTAGAAGCAAGCCTGGCTCCCTCAGTGGTCACAATGCTCTCTCTTTAGGACTTCTGGCTCTGATCTTCCCAACATCTAGGGAATATTCCCTTTGAGAATATTCTTCTTTCATCTATCAGTTACACGGCTGCAGAGGCTTGGACCATAAGGCTGTCTCCTTGTTAAGAAGGATGGTTTCCAAGAAGACTGCTGCTCAATCCCGCTTCTCTGCAATGTGGGAAAGAGACGGCACCTGGCTCTTGTAGGCTAGCCCAAAAGCTGTAGTCTCTGTGGCAATTTCTGCTCCCCTTTTGATTCAGAGGCGTGCCTTTCCCCTCCTTCGGCAATGACGCTTGATTATAATTATGGCTTATAGCGGTAGCTCCCTCTGAAGGGATACAGCCTTGTCAGGAGTCCCAAACTTGGCCAGCAGGCCAGATGCCCGGCTAGATGCCTCACAGCCTCAGCCTTCTCTTCTGCCATTAGTCCCTCAGTTCTGTCTTCTGAGCTGACTCTGAGAAGCAGTGCTCTTCCCAGTAACAACACCCCCCATTTGTAGGGCTTATCTATGAAGCCGGAAGTGAACATGCACCCCCTCATATCAATCTGGCACTTCACACCCACTGTGGTTACCGGCGGGGGTGCTGGCTGGGCTGGCGGTCAGCCAGAGGCACAACAGTAGCTTGGGAGGAGCATGGGTGGGGGGAGCAAAGCAAAGGAGAAAGGAGCATCTCACTGCTAGGAAATGTGGGGCGACTGGGCCATCAGCCACCATGACAGCCCCGTATAGGATCTGAAGGGCCAGTTGCTTGTCTTCTCACCTGTCCTAAGAACTTCTTCCCTTGGAAAGATGGAGTATTTTCTAAGGACTATTTCTACTGCCAAATGGGGTCTCTGTACCACCAAGAGATGCCCAAGGAGCTTATTCCCTCTGTCTTTGTGCTTGGAGAGAGTGCTGAGGCTAAGACAATGGAGGAGAAATCAAGAGCAGTACTGAGAGAGCATAAAATGTGCTGCAGCTGCCTTGGCCTGGGACGAAGGCAGACAACCACCTGTTTTGGAGGGGGGGCTGCAATCTTGGATCCTGTGCCCCTGGCAATGGGTGTTCCAGGGAGCTGCATCACCCAGGGAAAGGCAGCAAGCCTTAGACAGCTGCCTGTGAAAAAGACTAACCCTGAGCCCCTATTCCCTATTTGGTGCCCCTGGCAATGGGTGTTCCAGGGAGCTGCATCACCCAGGGAAAGGCAGCAAGCCTTAGGCAGCTGCCTGTGAAAAAGACTAACCCTGAGCCCCTATTCCCTATTTGTTCTCATTCTAGGCCGGACACCAGCCACAGACTGTTCAGAAGACGTAAATGTGCTTGCTTATCCTCTCTCACTTTCCTCTGCATCCATCTGCTTATACACCTAACATACATACACCTAAACATAATTAGACCTGAGGTCTTAAAAGAGTTACAAAATTATGTGTGGGTTCTTGTGGTATATTCTTCTGTGGAAGAGAATACATTGCTTTCATCAGAATTTTAAAGGGGGTTTTGGTTGAAAAAGGTTAAGAAACAGCTAGAGGAAAGATCTCTGGACTGGAAAGTTAAGAAGCCTAGTTCTGCCAGAACTGAGCCACCTTCAGAAGCAGTTGGAGGCCAGAGGAGAATCTAGTAGAGGAGAGACAGTGGCCATGGCTAAACAATTTAAAGCAGCAAGTAGATGTCTTCTCTGCCTGTCTTATCTTGAAAAACTCGTGAACCTAAACTGCAGATGTGTTTGCTGTCTCTGGTGCACCAGGTCCATCACACAGGAACCCAATGGGGAAGTTTTATTGTGTCCCTCATATTCTGAGGACACTTAGGAGAATGACCCCTGGCCCAATTGTCAGCTGGAGAAGATGGTTTCCAAAATAAAGGAACTGGAGCCTCAGCTGACAGCAATTCCACAGCCAAACCCAAGGATGCTAAAGTTCCAAGTGGATATGACCTTCGATGTTGACACAGCCAACAATCAACTCATCATTTCTGATGATGTGAGGTTCTGTTGTAGAAATTTCAAACAGAATCACAGAGTGTGCATGTAATCTGTGTCTTGGACTCCCCTCTCTATGCACCTCTGGCCACCATTACTGGGAGAGGGAGGTGGGGAAAAAATGGGATCTCGGTGTGTGCCAAGAATCTATTAATTGACACGGGGCAGTTCAACTGTCTTCAGAACTTGGCTTCAAGACTGTGGGTTTGAGAAATAAAAAGCACCTCTCAGCCAGCACTAAGCTTTTAAACACCCTGTGTGTGAGCCTCTGGATATGGATATTGGAAGCATTTCCTTTCATAACATTAGTGATAGATCCCATTTCTGGTGTGGAGCCACTGCACCCATTTTGTTGCTCCTGCAAATGCAAGTAACAATGATTAAAGTTTCCTGAATGTTTGTCCTGTGATCAATCTGGGCACTGCCAGATCTCCAGTTTATCCTGAACAAGGCAAATAAACCTTTGGATACAAAAACGTTTAGAAAAAAATCACTTTGTGCTCAGAGCTAAAAACTTTTCTGCTTGGTACACACATGGGACATAGTTAACAGCATAAAAATATGAACCATTTCATGAACCATGAACACAAATTAAGTGGATTATTTAGGAGAAATTATACTTCAAGTATTATGTATTGTCACAGTTGCCTTTTGGGTCTTTTTATTTTTTAATCAAACATTTAATTGTTTATTTGTAAACCAATAAATAATATTTGTATACTAAGTGTAAAAATTTAGACAATCAAGAAAGACTGCTTTAGTAATCCATAGGACATAATGAGACTCCATTTGCACAGATTTGGTTTTTTGTTTGTTTTTCTTGGCAGCTGGCCAGTGCTGGGATCTGAACCCGTGACCTTTATGTTATGTGGCTGCGCTCTAACCAACTGAGCTAAACCTACCAGCCTAATTTGCACAGATTTGAATCTTGTATAAATAGCATAGTCATTGTATACATGTAACCTGAATGTACACCATTTATAATCTCACTTATCCTACCAACTCTCCTCAGAAAGATGGATTCTACGTTCTAGTTGAAAAATTATAAATTCCAAATTAATAAACTTTTACTATATTTGAGGACCACCAAAAAAAAAAAAAATTTTTTTTTTTAAAGTCTATTCTGTCACTGATCTGTTGGGAGGCCCTTGGTGAGTCCTAACTTTCTTTCTTATATATTGTTCATAGTCTTCCTTGCCTAAAGCAAAAAACTGTACAGACATGAAGGTGACTAAGAACTGGAGAAGCTTTGAAGAACTCAGGACAAAGTCATGTCCATGTCAAACTTATGTGGTACCCTTAAATTTCTGGTCCTAAGGCTTGAGGCATTTACCAACCCAACCCAACCCCAAAAACCAGGAGAAATAGCAACACCAACACTGCCTAGTCCATGATGGGACACTGTTTGATGTGTCTAATGCTAGAGTGTCTTACTCAGGGAAGAGGCTTGAATTCCTGGTGGGTCAGAGAGTTCCCCAGGCAGCCCAAGAAGCCTTAAGCCTACTGAGAATCCGGGATGCTGAAGACGACATATGAGGAGAAAAGAGAGGCCAAAGCCAGCTTCATGTTTAGCTGAGGTGTCTGTGACTCACACCAAGGATGCAGGCTGGGGTTTCAAACATAAAAACCTTTGGGGGCTACAACAAACTGAGTGTAGAGATTCTGTATCTGTAAGAGCAGATCACGTTTGCTGGGGAGAGGGATGGGAGTACAGTTGGGACAAAGGTTAGTGGTGGCAGCCATAGACAAAACAACACTGCTGAGGAAGGCAGTCTCAGAGAAATGAAAAGGAAGACCTGTAACTATAATGTTGCTAACAACAAAATTATGGCCCACAATTTTGTGCCAGTTTTGGAAAGGATGCCTATTAGATTCCTCTTATGAATTCCTAAGAAAAAAGGAAAAGATAAGACAATCAGCCTCAAGTGCTTTGCAGAAAAGAAATATTTCAGGACAGAAGGATCCAAGGACTATGGACAGGACAGAGGGAAGGGCAGAAACTGACAGACCCAATAGTTGGGCTAACAGTGGCGGAATCGTGAAAGAGGCTGTGTTCTGGAAAGGCACAAAGAGATAGTGAAAGGCACTCTCTGGACACTCTGGAGAGAGTGAAAGATGCTCTCTGGAGCGAGCAGCTGGCAACACAAAGTAATCTCCCAGCTCCATGAGCAGCCTCACTAGGTCAGGTTTAGGCAGTAGCCTCTTTTCGGGAGGGGCTCCAACAACTCAAGATGGCATGCAAGAGTGCCCTTAGAACCAGGTTTTCTTTCTCCTGGACCACTGACCTAACTCAGCTGACAAAGACTCAATCACCAGTCACTGACCCAAATACATTCTCTAGGACATACCAGCAAGGACCCTATCAAAAGACAATGTGGACATTCCCAATAGCCATAGACCCTACTAGACTGGTCACACCATGCTCTGTGATCTGCACAACACTCTCAGAGAAGATTCTTCATCAAGTAAAGGACGGCATTAGGACTCCGTGGAGGCAGAAGTGGCATTTAGTCGGCTGGAACCCTGTGGCGTCCCACGCAGCAATCAGCCTGATCTGCAGTGAAGCACAGAACTTCACACTCCCCACCTGACTGGGTCTGGAAATTGATGACAAACCTGGCTGACTCCCAGGGTCTTGAGTGAACGGATAGCCCGCATAGACCTCCATCCTCAAAAAGCCAGAGGAAGGGGAAGGGGTGTCATCAGGACTTAAGACAGAAATATTTTGCTCCATGTCCCCTCCTACTCCCTACTTCAAGACCAGATAATAATTACTTTGATTTTTAAATTGAGCTTTTCAATCTGCCTTCACTATTATGAGCTAGATCTTCAAGCAGAAAGGAAAACCAGCAAGACACAGAGACAGGCTTTTAGAGATCAGTGGCTTGACAAATTAGGGTTTTAACAATACTCTATCTCCAGTTTTATTTCTTAAGTTAATGTCTGTGTCATTTACAAAAAACCAAGACCACCTGTTGAATTTTTCAAACAGGGTTTAAAAGGAATCTTTGGTATCTAGGCTTTTGCCTGCAGGGAAACATTACTATCACTAGGAAACCAGAAAACAAGGGAAAACAAAGAAAAATTAAATACTGCCTTAGATTCAAGAAGACATAATCACTAAACCAGTCTTTTGATGATAACTGGAATGGTCAGCTAACCCCACCAGCTCCTGCGGGAACAGGGCCGTTTAAGGAGTGGTGCTGAGAATGAGGCAGGCTCTAGCAGGATTTAGGTTTCTCATCTGAAAGACCCTACCTAGCTGGCCAGATCCATAGGTGAATGCTGATTACTCCAGTCCTCAGACCAGATGACCCCCCGGCCCCCACCCCTTAAGCCACTCACTCTGGTCGGCAGATCACCAGGTCTCCTTTGTTGGTACCATAGGCCAGGCCGAGCCCTGGCTCAGGCAGCCAACGGGCAGAGTTGATGCTGACATGTCTCCGCTGGTCAGCAGGCATGGGGTAAAGGACGTTGAAAACTCTCTGGGTTGGGGAGAAAGAGGGAAGAAAAGAATGAGAGGAGAAACAATTTGTTACCAAGTATAACAAAATCCAGGGAGAAACAAATTAACCACAAGGAGGAAAGGAGATGGTTAGGGTAGGAAAAGGATGACTCAAACTCATTGGGGCAGCAGGAAGGGATGGGACCCTCTTATTTTTGGTGAGAGCTAGGTCTCTTTCAAGAAACACTAGGGGCACACTTGATGTGCTCTTCTTAGAGCCTTTTAGCATTTCTGACTTCATTGCTTTTAAGTTATCTCCTTGGAAAGCCGCACCCAGAGCCCACCACACCAGGAAGGACTGCCCATAACTTTCCTCTGACCAGACTAACCAGGGAGAGTCAACTTTGGCTGGTAGTCCTGTTACCATGGAAATCACAGTGCTCTCACAGCAATGGGGAATTGGAGGTGATAGGGGGGCGGGAGGGGGTGAGACATCAGAGAACATTCTTAATTCATCTAATTAAAAGCAATGTTAAAACTGCTATTGTTAAGGAAACCTAAAAGAGGGGAATCTTGAACACACAGGTACACAATTTCTTTCTAGATTATATAAATCATCATTAAATAGATCACTTTCCTTTCTCAGAGAGAAAGATTCTTTTTTTTTTTTTAAAAAGATGACCAGCAAGGGGATCTTAACCCTTGACTTGGTGTTGTCAGCACCGCACTCTCCCAGGTGAGCTAACCAGCCATCCCTATATAGGGATCCAAACCCGTGGCCTTGGTGTTATCAGCACCACACTCTCCCAAGTGAGCCACGGGCCGGTCCTGAAAGATTTTCCTTTCAACAGTCTTTCCAAGCTAATATTTTCTGAGGGGCAGCTTAGCTGTATCTAAGGTTTGGGCTGAAGGTAAAAGATGGCCTCAGAGTCTTGATGGCCACTGACCTACAAGATGTTTTCACAGCAACTTTATTCAGAAACAGTGGCAAGCTAATGGAAGAATGAAAGATGTGGACTCTAGAATTAGAAAGACTTTTGAATCCTGATGCCACTGCGTAACAGCTTTCCTAAATCTCGGCTTAAAAAGAGCAAGTACATTCAAATAATAAGAGAGATAAAAAGAGATGATGTACATAAAATGTATGGAGGGCTGGCTGGTTAGCTTAGGCGGTTAGAGCACAGTGTTATAAAATGCCTGGCATGGTGCAAGCTCATAACTGGTAACTGCTGTTATTGTTGCCAGGAACCTGCATCTAGGGCTACAAAAAAGATCATTAGGGCCCATGAAAAGGAGAAGCTAAGAATCTATAAACTGTAGTTTTATTTCCTTTCTAGGTTCCCCAGTCTTTAATTTATAAAATATGAACTTCATCTGCCTTTACCTGCCCCTGGGGTTGATGGAAGGAAAAAAAGTTAGAAAACAAATGAGTGTGATTTATGAAGTAGTATTCATAAAATGAATTTAGAGTGGTACAATAATAATTATTTTTCTGAATATCCCAATGAAAGACTGAATTTAAAAAAAAGAAAGAAAAGAATAAATACTGAGCTTCAGCTAAGTAAGGGTCCACTACATTTATGCAAACCAAGTGACAAGAAACCCTGAATTTGAAAACATGTGTTCATGTGCCTTGGGTATCTGTCTGAAAGGCCTTGGACAGCCTCTACAATGGAGAAGACAGCAGGGTGTGTGCTCAGTGTACACACACGTACACACGTACACACACACACACACTCTCTCTCTCTCTCTCTCTCTCTCTCTCTCTCTCTCTCTCTCGTATGAGTAATTCGCTAGGTGTGTTGTGCTGAGAAACATGCCTGGGTAGCTAATGACATCCTTCCAGAAGGACATTGCTATGGTCCTGAGGTTAAATAGACCTTTTAAAAATAGGAAACTGACTCTGGTTTGAGATGTAAGACTGACTGCTCTGTGGTTGCTGCATTAAGAGACTCCTGTGACTCAACTCCAAATGTAAGAATTAGCCACGCTCCTTAAATCTTTAGTCTAAGGAGACTATTAAAAGAGAGTCCAATGGAGTTTATGAATTTCTAGCCTAGACATCTAGAATGTGGTTGCTTGACTGTTGGAACATCTCCTCCTTGTACATACATAGTTGGCAGGAGCCTTGAGCACATTCACGGCTACTGCTTTCCACTCAACCTCAGCGGCTTATTATCCATGCAGATGGGAATACCACTCTTCACTTTGCACCTAATCAACACTTTTCCTTTAAACTAAGGGATGGGGTGTGATGCCTCTATTCTTCCTTACAGTGTTTTTCACCTTCCTTGAAGACAGACAATATTTTCCATCCAAACTATTCGCTACATGGTTAAATGCAACTTGGCATTTAACTTTTAACGCTAAAAAGACAACGTGGTTGTGATCAGACAATTGTGGCTAGAATCACTTAGACAGACAATATTTTCCATCCAAACTATTCGCTACATGGTTAAATGCAACTTGGCATTTAACTTTTAACGCCAAAAAGACAACGTGGTTGTGATCAGACAATTGTGGCTAGAATCACTTATCTAATTTTCCTTCTCCCAAAGGTCAGATGGTGTGAGGAGGGTACACCCAGAATTAAGGAGGAATGAGGGTTAATTTCAACGGGTTGGATGAAGGCAGCCTTGGTTTTGGGCCTGTGGCAGCTCTATATGGGCCTCATAGCAGAATCTCCCCTAAAATCATGATTCATAATTGCAGGGATTGCAGAGAATGGGGTTGAAGGGCCAGAGAAAGCAGCCTTGCAAGGAGGATAATAAGGTTTTAGTAATCAGATGCTTACGGGTTGTGCTGAGTTTTTTGATGGGGGTCTCAAAGAAAAGAATAAAGTAATTCTTTTCTAGAAATGTTCCAGACCAGGAAAGAAGCAAACAAGCCTCTCATATGTAATAAAGAGGGATTAACAAGCAAATGCTATCAATTTGCTTCTTAGTTTAGGAAATTTGCTTTAGGGATGAAACCTTTAAGGGGCCAATATGACAGATGAACCCAGCTTAGGTGAGATGAGGCCACAGGGGATTGGAAAGAATTAAAGGTTCAGACCCCCAGACCTTGTTGGCCTTGCTAGCCAGTTCACAACTTCCACGGGTACAGGAGTCATGGTGGCAGCAATTTGTCCTCTGGCTCTGGCACCCCTCTCATGCCCAAGTCCTTAAACAGTGCTGAAAGGGCAGCTCTCAAGTGCCCATCTCCTTTAGTGTTTGGCTATTAGGATAAATCCTGCTTTGTGGCAGGAAGCCAGAAAATGCCACATGAAGATCAGCAGCCTCTAGGATTCCCGATAAGCGCCTGCTTGCTTATCACACTCTATGTGGGAGGGGGGAGGAGGGAGATGAGGGCAAGAGGTACAGAGGAGGATGAGAACACAGAGGGTGCAGGATGGGTAGGAATCAGATTTATAGGTCCTGAGAGGTCAACTTGTCCAATCCTCATTTCACACATGACTGAAGCTAAAGGACCCTTGAGCAATGAGAATCTGACCCATTTTGAAAAGCACCCAGAGTTGTAGTTTCCACTCCTTTCCCTGGACAGAGTTGAGCAGCTCTCAGGACACCTCACTGAGGGGAAATACCTCTATTAGTCAGCCCTAGCAATAAGAGAACACTGGGCAACAAGTTTCCCAATACTGACAGGTGGTCAGGCAGCTCCAGCTACTCCCAAACCATTTATACTCCCAAAACATTAATGGTTCCAGCCATTAGTCTTTTCAACCCAAAGACTGGGTGAGCTGTGAGTCTCCTCCCAGATTTTGCTGGAGACTGGATCTATAAACCCAAATCTCATCAGTATTCACAAGAAAGAAGAACCAAGCCACTGTGAAGGATGGCTCTGGCCTTACTTAAAGGTACTCCAAATCCATCTCAAGTGAAAGTTTCCTGAACACTAGTCAGGTGCCCTGAAGCTCTCCAAGGGATAGTAAGGACAAAGCTGCGTGGTCTGCCAAACTCTCCCCCCTCTTTTCTCTGACAAAGCAACATCTCATGAAGCCATCACACCACTTTATTAAATTGGAGGAGGATTATCAGGACCTAAGGACACTTTGCAAGGCTGGACACAAAACCCAGTTGCTGATTCGTGTTTGAAGAGTCCTGGTTTCACCTGTGTCAGCTGGAGCTATTCCCTGGTATATGACAAATGCTGACAGTACCCTCACCCTCCCCAAAGTAGATTGTTCTTGTTTCTGTTTAACATCTACGAAGGGAATTAGAATCAATATGCTAGAAGGAACAAATTCCTTGGAGTCAGTGCAGTCTCAACACGTCAACAGGGAATGAGGTCACCAAGATCGTTATGGTTCCAAGGCAGTAGGAGAAGATAATGATTCCTCCACTTCTGGGGTCCAAGATAATCGCTGGTATTGCTTACCTTTCCATCCCTCAAACACTAATAGGAAGTAGAAGCAAAAGAAAAGAGTTCCCAGATCAAAACTAAAGGGGTCTTGTGTCTTGTTCAAAGCTAGACAGGAAAAGAATGAGAGAAAGTCAGAGGAGGTCAGTGGGAAACCTTCCTCTCCACCCTTCTAAAATTCAGAGGAAAAATGTACTGCAGCCTCAACAAGATGCTTTCTTTTCTACTGCATGCCAAAAAAGCTCAGACCATAAGCCCAAGTAGCAAACTGTACTGCTCAGATCATCCCAAATAAGATGCCAAAAGAAAAAACTTTGGGGTTATTTTGTTTACATTTGGGGATCTCTGTAAAGCTGGAACCTTGCAGTGGTGGCAAGAGGTCAAGTGCAGTTGGCAGCTCTCCTTTATTTTAACCGAGACAATGGAAGCTGGTAGGAAGAAGGGGATAACTGGAAACTGAGGCTGGAAGGGCCATGGGAGAAGGTACAAGGTGGAAGCTAAGGGGGCTTTGAGGAAGAAAGGAACTGCGTGGAGGATAAATAATGGGAATTAAGGGAAGCTTTAAGCTTTTAGAGACGGTTACTAAAAGAGAACCAACTCTCTCAGAAGAGGGAAAAAAAAATCAGTGGAAAGCAGATGCTAAGAGACAGCTGACCTTTCCATTGGAAATGGATGGCTACA